GGAAATAATCCACTTAATAAGAAGAAAATGTCGCTTGCGAAGAATGATTTTCGAAAGATGTGCAACTGTATTTGAATTCAATGGTTGATTCATTTAACATAATCAGACGCCAGCAGTATATTTTAGAATACGTCTAGAAGAGAATATATGCGTGAAAATAACTAAGTCAAAATAAACATAAAATAAAGAATACCGCTGACTGTTTAAATGAAATCTGTATGCGATGGGAAAGAAGGAAAGGTAAGTGATAAAATAGTTTAAAAAAAGTAAATATGCAACAGCAAAATATAGGCAAAATTATAGTAGGAATATTACTCTGACTATGATAAGACAAGTAGTTGTACCTATTAAACACACAGATCATCTTTGAAGTCCTGAACTGCTAGTGATTAAATTGTATATTCAAAGTCTTCTCTGGTGATATTAAGTGACTTTTTAGACCAATGTAAATCAACTGTGTGAAGGTGTCTGCTGTTCAGGGTTGACAATATGCTCAGGAATATAGTTAATTGGTTAACCAAGCTGGACAATCTTTCGAAATCCGATTAAAGACTTAATTCTTCTATGAGAAAATTCTGTTCGCTGTTACGTCCTTTTTGTTGTGATTCAGTATGGGAAGTCTTGTAATTATTTATTAATTATTGTTAATTAATAACTACTTCGCATCGGTGGTATGGCGGTTAGGACGCTTGCCGATCATGTACATGGTCTGGGGTTCGATCTCCGGCCACCGACGCACTCCTTTACCTCGCTAAGCCAGAAATAATGCTGGTAAAAAGGAAAAGTTGGACATGAGGCTAGAAACTTCATCCTGTAAAATAAACACTGCTACAAGAAACTTCAAGCCACTAGCTTGAAGCCCTATGTTCCACTGGGGAACGTGAAGGAAAAACAAATAACTACTCGTGTATTTATTATCTAAGAAAGTTTTAGTTATTGGCATCACGTTTCGTTGTACGTAATGGGTGCCATTTTAAACTGACATTTCCTTAGAAAATGTACTTCTTCCTCGGTCAGACTCTTAAATATACAGTTATATTTAATGGAGCTCATGATGAAATCCTCCAACCAATGAAACAAAATCCCTACGAAACCAATAATTGAAAGTTATATATATATATATATATATATATATATATATATATATATACGTTGATATCTAATAAATAAGCAGTCTAACTTATTTTTAATTATTAATAGCTGACAAGGGAACAGGAAAAAAGAATTTTTAAATGATTTGTGAATCTTTTAAACTTGAATAAATAATGAGTATAACATTTATAATTTCACCAGGTTTACCAACCCATTCAGAGCAGGAAAAGACAGAAGGTTGTGAGTGGGATTAACAAAAATAATACCACTGCTACTACAAATACAAAGCACGTAAAAAATAAACTTATCCTTCAATGGAATCTCATTCCTGGGATGAATGGTGCCCACTGGTGAAGGCTTCAGGAGAGGCCAGTCGGCACAGAAGTCTGCTTTCGAAAAGAGCAGAATTAAGCATGGGGATATGGGATGTCTACGCGTTGTGGGAGACTGACAGGGCGGCTCAGACTGCACAAGAATTGAAGAGACATGTCATGGGGGTGCACAGAATGAGTGGCAGCAGATCAACTGAGATTTGGCAGTCCAGTCCATTGACTGGAGAGTAAATAATCTACCCCAGTCACCCAGATGAGAAATATGAGCACAGTGAGGGTGAAGCTATCATGATGTTAACAGCTGTCATACAGTGAGAACGACTGTTCTTCAAAATCATGACAGCGACATTCAACTCAAAAAGAAGGAAGTTTATAGTTATCCAATGCTACGCAAAATAATCCAAACAACGCAGTCCCTATACAACAAAAGGAAGACTTATGTAAACAACTGCAAGCAGTTATAGACAAGATCCAGGCAGGATGTTGAAATCAAAATCTTAGTGAGTGAGTGATATGATTGCCAAACTAGAAGAAGACGAAACGGGAAGAGAACTCATCACGGGTCGATAGGCAATCAGTGAAATGAATGAGAACGGAGAAATATCTACAATTCTGCTCCTTCATAATGATTTAGTGATTTGAGATAGAGTGTGTCGGTACGAGTGTACACACAAGGTGGCTTGGGTTTCCCCAGATGGACGCACACAAAATCAGATGACCTCATCTCCGTATCGGAAAAATTGAGATAACTTAAGGAATACAAGATGGAGAAGAGGAGTGGATAGAGGTCAAACTATTATCTAGTTTAAGAAACCTTCAAGATTAATTTTGAAGTCTTCAGAGGCTGATGGGCGAAGCTCCAAATGACGCCTTCACTGCAGTCATTAGGGAAAAGTTTGATACATTAAGTAACAACTCATCACAAAGAAACGTGAGTTGGAGACACTGAAACTTTCTTAAAGCGATGTAGGTGGAAGCCTAAGCGGTGAGAAGAGACAGGAAAAGAAATAGCTCACTATGGACACCTGGGAGCTAACAGAGAAGAGGAGGGTGGTGAAGCGGAAAATGGACTAGTGCAGAGATGGACAACGAAGGGTAAGCTGAGTATAATCTGCAGAGTACTGTAGACGAGCGTTAGGAAAGATAAAAGATGGTTTTATGACACACTGAAAATTGAAGCAGCACAAGCTTCAGGTAAGATAGACCAAACAACACTATAGGAAATGATGTTGGCACTACTCGGGAAGAGATCAACGGTTGGTAGAGTGATGTGGATGAAAAATGATAACAACAAAATTACTAGATCAAAGTTCGCATACTAATTCTACTTTGAACAGCATGATCACTAGTTAACTAATTTTCCAGCATTCATAGTTTTTATTTGATCACACTGGATTAAGAGAATGGCTAGAGAGATGCACTTACAAACTGCAAATAGCTAAATGAATCCAAACAATCAATAAAAGTGAACGATAATTGATCAATAAAATGTAGTTATGGTCTGACTGTTAGTTTGTTTTCATAGTTCATTTAGCACATAATTAAGCCAGCGAGAGGTAAAATCAGATGAAGCCACTGAAGGAAAAAAGTCAGTTACTACGGTGGTGGAAGAGAGGAAACGTTGGATTGGTCACTTCAGAGAATTCTTGAATCGACTACCACCTACCATACCTTCAGAAATACGCCTCCATAATCAGAAACAGAAACACTAGTGAACACCAAACTCCCGATGAGAAACAGAAGCTTTGAGGTCAAGAGAGTTGCTGAAAGCCAGTCGGGGAAGCTGTACAACCAGATGGAATTCCCACAGCCCGGAGACCCCCAATGAAGATGTTCACGCTACTGTTGCAGAAAGCGTGGGAGAAGGGAAAGATATGTATCAGTAGATTGTAAGAAATACTACTCTGTCATGTTACCAAAGAATGGCGGCTTAGGGCTGTGAAAGTACTGGGATGGAATCATGTTCCTATCCACCTTAAGCAAAATATTAGACCACATCATACTCGAGAGCCTGAAAGAGTCCCTGAATAGAATACTTAGGCTAGATTCTGCAAACGCAGGTCACGTGAGATCCAAATAGCAACACTATGCATCATCATCGGATCAAACCTAGAATGGCACTCAAATCTCTATCTCAGCTTCATCAATTTTGGGAAGGTTTTCGGCAGTGTAAACCGTGAGGTAATTTTGAAACTGCTTCAACACTATGGAGTGCATTACCATAAACATTTAAGAACCTAATTCAGCAGCGATACGATGATGTTGCAGGCCAAGTGATTTGCAATTGGGGGCTCAGTGAAGCATTTGAAGTGAAGACAGGAATAGGACAAGACTACCTATTATGACCGATGACCTCCCTCATTGTGGTGAACTGGAGCATAAGCGAGGTAGTGGGAATGAGAAGATGGGCATACCTAATACTGACAAAAAGAGATTCTGAAAGTTCTGGATTTCATGGGTGATCTATCTCATATCTCAGAAACTTGATGATTTATAGGCGAAAACCAAGAGGTCGTCAGAAAAGGCAACAAAGGTTGAACATATAGAAGACAGATGTGATGTACATACTCAACCACCGACAACCTCTGACAACATTTGCTACCGGCCCAGCATTGTTTTTTTTTTCAACTACAAAGCGGCGGTACGAATGAGTGAATCAAACAGATCGCAAGGTACTGTGTGAATAACATGAATAAACCTCTAGGCTGCTGTTCATTGAAAGTCTTCATCACTGTACCGTGTATATGATTTTACAAGGTAAACACTTTTCAAATGAATATTGATGCCCATTACGATTTTAAAAAAAAACATTAGATGAAACATGGGAAAAAAGCTGTGTATATTGTTAAAGTTTTAGTAGCCTACTGTGATATCAAGGAATTCTGGAGATGCAAAGTAAAATCCAATGTCAGCTTCTTGAAGATATTTATTTATCAGGAGGTAGTTTTAATGTGCAACCATAACAGATGAAGTTACATCCAAAAATTAATGATAGATAAAGGTAATCTATACATACTATGCAGTGAATCCTGAATAGTTGATATAACGTTCTGAACGAAATTAGTACATCTCTTGGAATCTGTATTTCGCAACAATTAATAAATTTAGGCCAGTAGTTACAGATACTCATATTAATCTGTTTCATAAAATTATTAAAAAGGAAATTATTTTTAAACTTTTGGGAGTATTAGAGATTCTAAAAATGAGAATAATTCACACAAAATACCTTAGTTATGGATGTATTGTCTGGGAGTAACGGAAATGTATGTTTTAGAAAGGGGCCATTGTTAATAAGTGCCGTCAGATAGTTTACCAATGAGAACCAAGAAGCACTTGGCATCTTTTATATTACAGTCTAAGACTCTTCAGAAACATTGGCTGTCAGCACTTGACAGACAGAGCAGAGAGTTATCACCTTTACTGGGAGCCTGTAAATATTCACCATTTCTGTTACAGTCACGGAAGTTCACATTTCCATATTTCTCTGCCTGAGACAAACAGTTTACTGGCTATGGAAATGTGTTTGAATTAAGTCACTGCAATAAACACAGACATATAAATCTTGAATATACTTACTCTGATGCTTCTGTTCCAACATCACACACGGATTTAGGCTGTGAATTGACTGTGATCTTTACAGGTTTAGGCTCCCGCATTGTCGCATGCATATCGGACATTTTACGTCTTAAATCTTTTATTTCACCTCCTACTGCATCCATTCTGGCATCAGCAGCCTTTCGTCTTTCTTCTAATTCTTCCCTTACTTGGTTATACTTCTGTTTCATTTCTGTTAGTTGGATTTGAAGTTGATGTATTTCTGTTTGTGCAGCTATTTCTCGGGCTGTAGGTTTGCCATCTAATGCATCTCTGCTTTTTTTCATCATTTCCAGACCTTGTTTCAAAGTAGTAATTTCTTCCTGTTTTGATTTAAGTGAAGTTTCCCAAGCTTCTCGTAACTGATCTAGACGCTCTCTTGTTTGTCTGGCTTCATCACTCCATCTTCGCAATTCTTTCTCCAATTCTTCCATACGTCTATTTACATGTATAAAAACAAAATAATTAAATTCTGTGAAAACTTGGTAGCTGACGATTTACTTATTTATTTTCCGAATTTTGATTGCAGATGTAACCACATGCATTTATCACACCTAAACTTCAGCATTAAGCCTTACTAATAGTTCGTTAAATATCCCATAGTAGGAATTGGTAATCAGCTGAAAACATTTTAGTCATGTGAAAGAGACATGCATTATGTTAACAACAGAAGTTATAATTAATTTAAAAGACAGCCACTGCGCAAGATTTTTTAATGAAAACCAAATCAGGAAAGTGAATAATGATGAGTAAATCTGTTGTCCAGTTTATCAATGGAATGTGCAAGACAAACCCATAATACAGATACCTCTTATGCAATAAGTAATGACACTTATGTACAATGAAATGGTCCTTTATAGTGTTTAACCAATAATTCCATTTTGCAATACACACTCTTGATTTTCTCACCTTTGTTTGATACCTTTATTAATAATGCATGTGTTATAACATAAATTTCTTGGATTTCTTTATAGTCTCATAAATCACTGTCTTGTTTAGTAGAACATATTTCTATTCAAGTACTGGTTTTTAGGGATTTAATTGATTGGTTACAGGATTTTATCATGAGCCGACATTAGTCACAAAACCATTGGAAAGCCTGGAAGTGCTGGTAGACAGCTGTTTCGTCCTAGTTTGAGACTCTTCATCAGTACGCACCCACACCACGGGGGTCGAAACCAGGACCTTCTGGTTACAAAGTGAGCTAGCTCATAGACCATTAAGCCACTGTGACCCGATCCAATGGCCCATGAATTCCAACTTCTGCCAATTCACGACACTACTAGCCAGTGTCTTCGGCGAGTGTTTTTCCTCACACCCGACTTGCTGTACCCTACTGGTCACGACTTCCCACTAGATCCCCATCTCTGAAGTCAGCTCATAATGAAATCCTGTCACCAAAGAACATATTTCTGTTTGCTTCTCTGTTGAAATTGATAATTCTGTCATATGCAATTAGTGATAACAATGTTTCTTTTATTAAAAATTTCAGCCTATTTTCAGTTAACGCGGTAGAAATATTAAAATTAAACCGACAACAAGTTTACCGAAATTCAGGGGTTATCCATGGTGATACAGTTTGCATCTCGTTTAGCAAGGCAATAAGTAATTACTTATGCTACCGCTTAATCTGTTCCATTGGATTTCGTTTATAATAAGTGTCAGTGATTTACTGTTTCTATTTTGAAAGAAAGATTTTGTGTTTGACTATGTGTCAAAAAAGTAATTTACGCCTCTTTTTTATGAGTATTATGTTCTAAGCATAGTCAACGGTCTAAAGGACTGCAACTACAGTAGTCACAAAAAGAACTTACTTTGAATGGTCAGCATTTTTAGCCAATTCTCGTGCATACTGTTCAGCTTCACGACGACGACGTTCTTCAGCTTCAGCTTGCATTTGTAAGATACGCTTTTGCTGCTCATATTCTAACCGTTGTAAAATATCTTTTTGATGACCAATTGCTGCTGAAATTGTGTCTAAACCAGCATCGCCAGTATGCAAAATAGGTGTTGACTGGACAATATTAATTTCATTGGACACTGGAATTAATTCCTGTGAAGTTTTCCCATTAGATGGATCAGTTGTCGACATAATTGGTGATGAAATGACTGGTAAACTAACAGTCGGAGTCACAGAAGGTCTTTGCTCATAGTGAGAACTATGTTAACGAGAAATTTAAAGTATATTACTAATTAGACACTACTAACTGTGTTTTCTGATATTTTTTAATCAACAGAATTCTCATGGAATATTTAGTTTACCAACAAGTGTTCATTTTAACAGACGAATAACTCATCTTTCAATTGCCAAATTATCTGGGACGCTATACCAAGCTGAAAATGAATGAAGTGGCTATGAATTACCCAAAATATTAGAAAATATCTGTGAAAATTCCTCTTTTCAAAAGCTGAACCCGAAAAAGATGCTCTGGATGCAAAATTCTGAAATCCATATGGGAGACAGTGAGTTGGATGTCCGAACTTGATATGGTGGAGATGAGAGTTTATGGACAGTAGTTGAACCAGCTAAATATGACTGCACAGAAGAGGATGAAAGGGTAATGGGCTGTTAAAGCCCTGTGTTCCACTTGGGAGCTTAGGGAATAATCATAACAATAAATAGTGCTTTTCGGGGTTCTATACTCGTTCTGTGAATCTCAAAAGTCTTACCCTTTTTTATTTCAACAATAATATCATTTCAATGATTGAATAAAGATATTAAATAAACCGATGATTTATCACATTTCATTGATCACTTAATCAAATAAATTTAGTGAGTATCAGACTTAATCAGTAATCCTTCTAAAAAGATGCCAGTACTTCAGATCTGAAATTACTTCACTATAAAGTATTGTGATTTGCAGATTTTCCTGATTTGTAAATGTTCTTGCATTCATATATCAGTCTTCATCAAACAATGGGTCATTTGAGCTTGTTAATTTGGCTCCTAATCCACCCTACAGGTGTATGTGATCGACCCATTCAGTATTCTACCTCTATTGATTGTTCTTATTTACCTGACAATGTCTAATTGTACTTTTGTTAATGCTGTATGTCTCAGTTTGCTCGATAAGTATATAAAAAAATAACTGCATTGTGTGTTATTACACAATACTTTTAATATACTACTACTATCTGTTTGACTATGTATTAATTTTGATAATATTGTGATACTACAACGCTACCACTAATACAATTCTTCTTGTTCTTGTGTAATCCTGCCTAAAATATGTAGAAAGTCAGTGTACATATATTTAGTCCAGGGCTATACTTCTTATATACTTCTTCTTATATTATGCTAAGACTCATCATTTTCTTTTGAAAGAAACTCTGATAAGCTGGATGACCCACTTCACACTCTGTGTGTGACAGCTGACGACCTAATCCATATTAATTCATTTATTGGATATATTACAATATCACTTATTATCACAACTGATATGATCATGAACAACAAACTATAACAGAGAAGATTTATAGCTCAGGTGGATGATTTACAGTTAGTTTTATTCTCTGAGGTCCACAGTTAAACCAAACAGCTCAGAGAACACAACTAGTTGCAAACAATAAACGATGTTCAAAACATCACTCAGTAAATAATAGTGTTCCAGTATGTAAATGTAATTTAATATGGAACTACATAGTATCATAGTGCCCCAGTTTTACACATATATTGAGGAAGTCAAGTGTTAAATTCAGCTAGCTACATTTTTAGCTGTGAGGAATTCTGAAGCCGAAACGGTCTTGTAATCGTTATACGCTACCACATCACCACTCAAGATTCCTAACTGTCATCTTCACTTTGTATTTACTCCTACAATTTATACAACGGGAAGTAAGCAGGAATGGAAATATAATTATTTTTGGAGTAGTTTTACTTGTATTCAGAGTTCTTCTAGTTAAGTGAGTTTAGTCTAGCGTTCTGTGTGTCACATCTGTGCGTTGTTACGAAAAGTGGACAAAAATTCTTAGGTAAAATGGAAAGTTCTCAAGTCTTACCTTGGTCTACTGATATTTTGCTGTTGTTGTTGTTGTTGTTGTTGCCAGTTCTGCTGTAGCTGTGATTGCTGCTGAACAGTTGTTGACGTATTGGATTCACTCACTGGTGACATCATCTGCCTTTGTGGTGTTTGGTGCAATGTCGAAGGAGGATTTGGTTGATATTTAGGTACATCTTTAGTTTGTTTGTTTGAAAAATAGAATAACAAACAAAAATATTAGGAGATAATACTTTTATTTTAAAATACACGAGTTCTGTTTCTAAGCCTCGTTGTGAATACTGAAAGATTTACTAATGTGAAGTTAACTACTGTAAGTAGTATGATAATATTCATAATAAGAAATTGTTGACTTGGGTAAATGCTTTTAACGCAGCCTTTCTTTAATGCAATATACCTTGTGGACCTGGATGTTAAACGCCATTTTGTTTTTGGTTAAATGAAATGGGATTAACTATCACACGATTGTAGTAACTGACTTTTAGTTTGTCACATCCTTTGAACTCAACATGTGATTGTTTAGAAGTGTGAAGGTAAATGATTTTTTTTTATCCCTTCACATTCCCAGTGGAACATAGGGCTTCAAGCTAGAGGCTTGAAGTTTCTGTAGTAGTGTTTATTTTCACAGGATGGGGTTGCTAACCTCATGATCAACCTTTCCTCTCTACCAGCTTTATTTCTGGCTTAGCGAGGTAAAGGAGTGCGTTGGCCAGGGATCGAACTTAGGACCATGTGCATAGTCGGCGAGCGTCCTAACCGCTGTACCACCGACGATGATTTGTAAATGACTTCAAATTAACGAGGAAGAAAGTAGAAATATGTTTTTAAATACTAATCTGGTACCATTCATATGAGTATAACTCCTAATATGAAGGTAGTCATAGTCTTAATAATTCCTTAGTGCTGTAAATTCATTGCTACAAAATGCAGCTGTCCAGTACTCCCAGGTTTTTCAGTGGTTCTCTAACTAATGTCAGCTCATGATGAGATCACTTATTTGTTAATTGCAGGCAAGTTCAGTCTTTAATTGCTTAATATAAGAGCTAACTCAACTTTCAAACTCAATATTCTTAGTGAACACTGATTTTGGATACCGAACTACTCTACAATGAAGGAACAGAGAGGAAAAAATCATTAAGTTAAAGTATTACTTTTCTCCTAAATTCATAAACTGATGAATAACTACATAACCTGTGTGATGACACCCTTATTACCACAGATTACATCATTTTGAGGACATGTGGAAAGATTTTATATCTCCACAAAATAATTCATCAATTGCTACGTATTTTAGTAGTCATGGGATTTGTCTGAATTGTGCGATCCGGTTTATTTTTGTTTTTGTCTGATGTTAATGTATGCAACTAATAACTGTTCCTATCTTCATTTGAATATCTTGTCACTTCTTATGTATTTAGTGAAATTAGTATAACCAGACATCTAACCAGCACTGTGTTTACCATTTCCAAAATGTGAAGATGTAGTCAGTTCGGATAGAAATTTACCTACAAACGATATTTTTAGTGACTACATTTTAGTAACTGATATTATTCACAGTTAAATCATAAGCATAACAGTAATGAACTCTGAAACTGTTCGATGGATATAAAATGAGAATGAAACCCACCCTTTTGGGAGTCATCTACTTTAAAAGTCACTGATGATGGTCTTGTTTCACCAGATGGAGTGACCGGCACAATATTTACTTGATTTTGTGGATTCTTTTGTTGTGATTGAGGGGCTTGAGATGCATCATTATAAAGTGGTTGGTTTTCATTTACAGCTTGGCGATCTATTACATAAATCTCAGGTAGTTCAGACTATTTGATAGCGGAAAACAGAAAAATAATTGAAAATTTATTTAATTTATTTAAAAAAAGTTGTCAAAAAGTGACGGTGGTTTTGCCCACCCGTCGTGAATTGCATATTTCTATATGAAAACAAAATAGTTTCTCACAGTATGTGATATTGAAAATCATTTGAACTCACAGTTGAGTGAAGTGAACGTTAACCCGAAATAGAAATGAATACTAAGAATGACCTGATTTCTTTTTAATTAACATATATATGTAAATAAAAATCACCTTCCCTCCCATTAAACTAAAAAAAAATTGTAATTGTCGACAAATAAGCACTAATGTTGTAGATAAAGAATTGGAGTACACTTACCAGAAGTGCTATTCAGAGGTAAATGTATTACGTAACTCTGGTGTTCACTAATATATGCCAGTAAGTAGTATCTTGCTTACAACCTTAGAATATATCCGAATTTGAGAATATATCTGGCCTGAATCAGTAAACCAGAAAAATACGAACTATGTATAAGCTATGGTTTCAATATTGTAACACAATCACTTTCTTCGATTAATTATTCCTACCTAGTACCAGGCATTCAAAATAATTCACTATTAGGCATTTTAAATGTTTTATGAGAAGAAGGTGGATTAGAGAGATTAAAAGAAAATAACTGGTAAACACATCGCTCACATTCTGGATGAAAAGTGTCACTATACTTTGATTGAAATATTTCTGTCAACACTTTACCGGTGTCATTTTGGCATACAGTCACATCATTAAAACAGTGGGTTGCTATGATGGCAAAAAAAACCCACAATAAAAATGACTATGACACACTTCAAGCTATCATGTTAAGAACCAGAAGTTAGGATTTTCTGAGAATTATTGTGAGATTTAGACATCCTGATAACAATATAATAAATGTCTACATAGACATCGTAACCTTTCAGTAATTTTCGCATAGTTAGTCATTTTCAATAGAAAGTTAGTTTAATGGTCAAACTGTTCTTCAAAAAAGGTCAAAGTTGGGCACTAATAGAACCAATATACTTACAGTAAATCAGCAGAAAACTAGTTTCTTCTTGATAACATTCTCATTTTCCTTAATAAGTGAATGACAGCTAAGAACCTGAATAAGATCCTAGTCTAAGGGACTATTCGCTATGATTTTAAAGTACTGTACACAGCTAACTATACGAACGTATAAGTACTTATGACATCAATTACATCCGATAATATGAATGGTGATAAAGGGTAAACAGAATAAGCATGAATAGCAGTATTCTAAGACATAAATAAAGCATTTTCATTTGAATTCAAGTTTCAACTCCCAAACAAATTGGTTAGAAGGAATAAACAATCAGCTTTCATTGAGAAGATTTTTGGCTAATCGAGTGATTTATATAATTGTATTTACCAATATAGAAGGAAAACTGCTGTTTCAGTCTTAAACTGTACGGTAACCTGTTACTTCATTTCAATAACCTCATGAGTGACATTTTATTAATAATGAAAACATTATCAAATGAGGAAATAGAGGCTAAAGTGTCGCGATGATGAACAACACAGTCTGAACTTTTAATAACTTCCTCAAACTCATATCCGAAAATTACTGTTTCCGAGAGTATATCAAAAATTCACTTCAATTGGTTACACCACTCACAGAATTTAATCCTCCTCTAATGAGACCTGAGTCTAGTAGAATGTTTGGGCCAATGAACATGAATTGTTTGCTTAAACAGTACTCTTGAGCGAGAGCTGAAAATAGCCGTGTTTCACTCAGTGGATAGGAATATCCAGAAAAATTCCAGTAAAAGGATTTGGCTTCAGAAAACACCAAAACCAGATTATCTACAGGCTTGAAAAAGTCAGTAAGTTCTGAGATTCATACCGAGGAATTAAAAGGGAATTAAAATGCGTTGCTAATTCGTCCGTCAGTTGGTGCTTGGTCTATGGAACTGAGACAGACTTCCTGATTTCATCTCATCTATGTGTATCTACTTTTGTAGAACTAATTATATAAACCGTCGTAGAATTGACCAATACCATCCGTAATAGTCAAGTGAAACACAGGTTATATGAATCAACATACCTGCCCACCTTGTCCAAGTTTAAATTAACTGGACTTTCAAAGTCATTTCATATAATCATATGCGTCTTTTATGAGTTCAGCTTTAGCCTACAACAGAAGCAATCTTATTCTTCTTAATAAGGGAGGAAATTCCTGAAGTCCCTTTCTTTACCTTGTCCTTCGAAATAGTATATTTCAGCATATACTACCTCCCCTATCCATATTAATAATGATTTTGACTATTGTTATCATCGATGTGACTACTCAACTTTTTCCTCTGCAGTTGTTTAGACGTAGTAACTAAAAAATGGCAACTTGATAAATTGATTCATCCACTCTTTTTACTTTTCATCATTTTACAGTCCATCGATTAGGTAACCACTCGTCGCTATTATATTGTCATATATTTCAGATAATGCACTTGCATTGTTGATTACCTTCCACTCTTTCCATACTGTGAAATCGATAACTTCTTATTAACCAGACTGATATGATTGCTGTGCTATTTCAAGTATTGCATGCATATTAAGTGTAGATCTGCGATTAATACTATTCTCTGAGCTGGTTGGTTTAGTTGCGGAGCTTTCATCGGCCTTCTGGACAACATCTTCAGCGCAATATTTAGCATAAAGCATAGATTGCAAATCATCCACATGAGCTAAAAATCATCTCTATTAAGTGTAGATCTGTTGATTAGAAACTAACTGAAATGAGATAACCTTCTTCTCTCAACCTAGTGGATCTTTTTAATGTACAAAGGGTAGTTTCAGGATCTAAAAATCTGCTATTGTGTTTCACTAATAATACTTTATCTGAGTTCCTAAACCACCATCAGCTAGAGAACCACTGAAAAACAAAAAGTATTGGGTAGCTGTTTAGTTTCAGTTTGATATTCTTCATTAGCGTACACTAATGCCCCATAGGATCCATATGATTAGGTTGGTCATTTGAAAATTACACAGTGTGAGGTGAAAATTCACCACAGTTTCCTTTGGAAATCGGGAATATTCAGAAAGCTAATAATGATTTGTTTGGTATCACAAATGCTGGTCAAGGAAATAATCAAAATAGCAATATAGCAAATATTAATGATAAGTCAGGAACCACTTTCATTGCGTCGGTGGCACAGTGGTTAGGACTCTCGCCGACCATACACATGGTCCGAGGTTTGAACCCCCGCCAACGCACACCTGATATCTATGGTAGGCCTGCAAAATTTGGGCTATCGATATCGTAGGCTGAAAATTCCAGACTTGTACCAAAAATACAGTGTGGAATCAAGCTGTAATCACAAATCACAAAATATAATACTGGCTAGCCAGACCTAAGTGGCGTAAACACCTGACAGTCGTTTCGTCCATTTGGAGCTGAATTCATCGGCGATGTACCCATGTAGACTCAGATTACCGAATCAGTTTGAAAAATTCATTTTCTGACTATCGAAATGATGGAACAAACTTCCAAGATTAACCTTGATTTAATCTGACGTCAGTTGGTGAAATGAGGTTGGCAGCACCTTAGTGAGCATGAGAAAAACTTGACTGATAGATTTCAGTCGATAATAAGGACTAAACACATGACACTGTTTACTCCCTAATAATCAGTAAATAAATCGATCTCTGTGATGATTTGAAATGACAAGCATAGCTACATGTTGTAAAAGGCTAATCACTAAAATGATGTGAACCAGCTATGAGAAGTGATGTGCCATGAAATACTAAACCAACCGTAATAAAACACTTATTTCCATAACTTATATAATAATGTCTCATAGAGTATTATAACTTCCAACTGAACAAAAATTGATATGACCTAACGGTAATAAGATGATGTTCCAAAGGCAATAAATAGTGAATACATCTCTGCTGTGATAAATTTTGCACTGTCGTAGAGTGATCGTTACTACTGATTACTGACATCTTGAGGATGATTTAAAATATTCTCTAGAATCATAATTTTGATGTACTTCTTTTAACCAGTGTCATTTAAAGAGCTTTATTAAACAGCCATTCTCCATGAATAACTGTTAATCATCATTTTTAACGACAGTGTTAAATACATAGCAATTATTATTTGCTATTTGTTGGCAACAGTTCGTCGATCAACTGTACTATGTGATCGCTAAACTAAATGATTCGAGACGTATACATTAATGTAACCTTCCGAGTAGTATATGTTAGTTCAGGATCAGTATTAGCCTTCTGTGAAAAGAGTTTCGAGCCAGTGGCACTCATGAGTAAGGATCATCAGCACTGTTTCAGGTAGTATAGGCTTTTCCTGATGTTCAAAAATTTCGAAACCTATTTTTAAAATCAGAAACATTACCATAGAGCATTTCAGATTAACATCGATCACCGCGATACATTGAGATAATTTCATAGTGCTGGTTACCAAAGCCTGTCAGCAAGTTTTATTCTCAAGAATGTATAAACTTTTGATATAATAAAGCGTACATGAACAAAAATTATATTTGCTTACTTTAGGTGGAAGGAATTCGTCGATTTTAAACAACTTCTCCTGATTCGACTGAATCTACAAAAAAAGACATTGAACATATTAGGATGATGAGCGAATTTTGACATTACTCGACCAATCGAATGCCCAACTTGTTTACAAAATACATAGTCACTTGGCAAAAAGTGTTTGCCTAACTCTTGTTCAATAATTCCACGAAATTCAAATAAATTCACATCGGCATTGGATCGTATTATTCCAGCTGATACTGTGCTTTTAATCAATTGAGAAAATGTCGTATTTAATCATTATTCCATAAATTTGGTGGTATCACATAAATATGTAAGTCTGTGAACTGTGTTTTTTCTGACGTAGGCGCAGCTGGAGATAAATTTGTTGAAGTCATAAAAGGAAGTTGATAGTGTTATTCTCCTTTGATTATAGAAGCTTCATAGACTTGTTTGTCTAGTATAACTACGGTTAGAAAAGACGAAATCTTCCATATCTTACATGTCACTTTCTTCCTTTCTGTTGTGTCTAATTATCCTCTTGGTAGTTTATCTAAAAAGAATCAGTGTTAACAAAAGTGTCTCTATATACACTTATATACTTTTAGTGGAGTATACTATGTAACACAAAAAAAGACTGGATTACTTATGAGAATTGTGTATTATACTGGTTTATTTAACTAAACTACTAATATATATAATCGATCCGCTTTATAGTGTCCTCGACTTACAGAACTATATGACAGCCAATGAAAAGTCAGAAAAATAAACACACCTGCAATAAAATTTGACTTAAATCATTTTGATTACGTAGTCTAAAATTTTCATTTTGTTTGTACTTAGCAGTTAAAAAAGAATTTTGATGTCCACATCAATAAAACACAGTCATATAATCGTAAGTTTCAATTTACTTATTTTTTTATTATGCTACTTTTAAATAGATTACAGTTATACTTTTTGAAAGAATTAGTATATAAGCGTATCAGGTGCTTACTAAATATCCCACTAAGGATTTCTCATTGCTAACTTTTATGATCCATTACTTACAAAGAAATGAGACATCTGACTTAGACAAAAGTGCTGGCAGAAGTAACAGTCTGGATGTGTTTGGTGAAATAATTGACTAATACATCAACCATCCCAAGTGTTTAAGACCGACTAGTTGTCTGATTACCTAGGAGACCAAAAAATGAATGCGAAAGGCTCATTTAACATTTGTCAATCTGAGTCATAATGTTTGACATCTACTTCAAATTTGACTGCAGCGCAATAGCTAAACACTTGAAACATGGTCACTGACAGAATAAATAGACCATGAATTCACCGACTCTTATTGTGAACCATACAAAGTGATGCAAATTATCCGGACAGGATCTTTGAAGAGCTAAGATTCAGAGGTTAGTGACATGGGTAAAAATTGGTCACAGTAGTGCAGATGCATTCACTACCCTCGTTATCTCCGAAATCCTTATCATCTTAACCAATCTTTATTGAATTACACCCCCGGAAACATTTGTTTATGCAAGGACGTATCAAAACTTTGCGATTTTTTGCATTTTTGCGTGCTGCCTCATAATATTGCCAGCTTTTTCCTACAGTGCATTAATCAGTTACCAACGAAGTTTATCAGCGCCGAATAATATAACCTTATTAAGAAAGTTGTGTTTGCTTTCTCAAAAATACAGAAAATGCATATATATATATATATATATATATATATATATATATAGACAGTGGAATAGCTTTCTATGGTGTGGTTCAGTTGGTCAAGTAAACTTAAAAGACGAAGAATTCAGCACAACCGAGAAATTGTCCAGGTGTTTGCACTTCACATCAAAAAACACAAAGTTGTGAGTCCAGATGAAAGAGGATAATAAATACAAAATGATATTGGTAAGTGCTGAACGTTATCTGAGAAAAAAGAATTACTATTGTATTAACCTGCTTCTTAGTGAGATGGATGTATCCATCCTTAATTTAACTTTATAAATACCTCCTAATGAAACATCTAAGATAAATTATTATTATTATTAATCTCCTGGGTCCCGAGTGGAAAATATGACTCCAACAATACATCTCCATTCATCTTGTTCTGTGAAGACTAACTCAACATTAATGTTGAAAATTTGAATCTTGTTTTTTATGCTGCGGAGTGCAGAAAATATCCTCACTGATTTCAGAGTGATGGATGTCTGTTTTACCTTTTCGATTCTGGCTAGCTGTGACATCTTCATCCGTCCCAGTTGCCAGTAGTTTAAATGTTGTTTCCTGGATAAGCGAAGGAAAATGACGTCTGTCAAATTTCTCTGGTTGCTACTGATTGGTACTTGTTGTTCTTGTTGGTTCTTCTTTATATTCACTTGATGTTCTGTATTCTCTGCCGGTCTGTTCTGCTAACACGTTGGTTTTTCCTTGCAAGTCTCCAAATCTATGTAACACTAGACATAAGTCGTCCATAAAGTCCAAATCTTCGATAGTATTCTTGCTGGTCCAGTGTGTGCCTGTCTTTTGACACCTCAAAGTTTCCTGCACGACAGAGTCCACCACAATCAGAAGTATCGTCGATGATAGTCGGCAGTCTTGTCCTACCACTGTCTTTACCTCAAACACTCCACTGAGTTATCCTTTATGAACCATTTGACATGTGACATCATCATCATCACATAGCTGTTGGATGAAGTTGATAAAGGTTTGTCACACTGCACTCCGCAGTGTTGAAGTATTTTCCGAATTACTTCGTGTCCAAAGCTGTCGAAGGCCTTCTCAAAACCGACAAAGTTGAGGCAGAGATTTGACTATCATCCTATGTTCTGTTCGATGACAATGAGTAGAGTCTCAATTTGATCCTCACATGATTTGCCTTTCTTGAATCCGACTTGTTCTGGTCGTAGTTCTGCATCCATTGCATGCGAATTAGTATTTCTCTTGATGTGGACAAGAGGATGGTTTCTCCCATCAAGATTCTGATATCACCATTTGGGTTCTCATGAATTACTTTTTGCAGTTGTTCGTAGAAATCTTCCTTCCCCCTCCCTTGTTCTGCGTTTTTTGTAGACAAATAGCATTGAATAATTGTAACCTGCCTTCCTTTTAAGTTGAATCTTGCTGTTATTATTCTGGATGAGATTGGTTCCCACTGCGTAAGAGTTTCGGCTGCTATCGGTGGCATTATAGTAACCACTCCCTCAGTGTGCTTGTGTTTGTCATCTGGGTGACTAGGGTAGATTACTGACTACCTAGTTAACAATTCGGAATATCCGCTTCCATTCCATCTCCACCCACAAATTCATAGCACTTCTAAAACATATATCATTTCTTTGGCAACCTAAGCAACCCTCCTGGCTTCGAACATTCGACGTTCCCTTGCTTACTTTTCCTTTCATCGAAGTGAGACAGAACTAATGACTGGCTTCTTGAAGGCTTTCACCAATCCTCATCGTTCCGTTTCTCCGATTCCAGTGAAGCATAATCTTGATTTTTATATTTTTGTCGTGCTTTGAAGTTTCTGTACAGACTAGAATGGTTTTCCGGAGTAGGGTGGTTAGCTCGACGCCCAACCTTCCTTCTTATCCCGGGCTTGGGACTGGCTGGAAAACTCTCGAAGTAGTAAACAAGACGAGGTTTTCTAATAGTAGAATTCTCCTGTAACTATAAAAAATGTCGAAAGCAGACAATCTTAAATTTTAAGAATTTCATCTAGGCTCAGAGGGTAACATGCATTCAGCTTGCAATCTGACTGTAATAATTTACAGGTTATGAATAGATACTCTGTAACAAGAGGTAGACATGAAAACTTATCAGTGTCTCTTCTTTAATATATGCTCAGATTCAAGTATTGGTCTGTAGGAATTCGGTTGATTAGTTACGGGATTTCATCGTGAGCTGATATTGGTTAGAAAACCATTGAAAAACCTGGGAGTACTGGACAGCTGTTTCGTCCTAGTTTGAGACTCTTCATCAGTACGCACCCACCGGATACTTTACTAGCAAATTCATACAAATTCTATACTCCATACTTCACTTCCATTTCGCACGTTTTTTAAGTTCCTTATTTCCATGTCTATGAGTGAAATCTACAAGTAGCTGTAAAGCAACGTCACTTTTAAGCATGTTTTCATATTCCACAGCTCTTCATTTATTTCAAAATATAGATAGTTGATTTGTACTTTTTTCATATACACATTTTTTTTACTTTATTTCACATACCTACTTTTAGGAAGTAGATGTTCTTACGAGTTTGACCATGGATTGATATCAGTTAGAGAACCATTAGAAACCAGGGAATACTGCCAGACAGCTGTTTCATCCTACTTTGGGTTTCATAGGTAATACACACCCACCACCACCGTTCGAACTCAGGGACTTCCGGTTACAAGGCACTGGGACACGATTTAAATGGCCCTGGTTTTCAATGGTTCTCTAACTGACATCAATCCGTTGTCAAACTCGTAAAAACAAATCTAATCCTTACTAACCAACTCTTGAAAAGTGTACATGTTCTTTTACAGTAATTTTCACTATCATTAATTCGACGCATTCATCAAGAGATTATATGAAGATGGATTTCATCAGGAACAGACATCAGTTTGAGAACTGTTGAAAACCAGCAGGCACTGGAAATATGTTTCATTTCTAAATACCAGCTGCATGTAGCTAAAATGGAAATTACCAGTCATTCAAAATATAAAAATATTTAGTCATGCTACTGATAATTTTTGTAAGTAATCTGTTTCTCTTTTACGAATATGTTCTAAATTTGGCATGTAATGCAGTATTTTGTAAACACTTCAGTAAAGAAAAATAATGGAGACTGTATTGTTTCAGAAAAGGTCATGAATCCTAACTATTCTTTACTCTTGCTAATGGAATGTAACTGAATACACTTCATATTAAAAACTGATATTCTGTTGAAAGTGAATTCTAAGGCAAGACAGAGAACACACAGTATAAGTTGACTTATAACTAGTGCGATTTAAGTGTAGTAATCACAAAAGAAACAGAAGAAAACATAAAATAGGTATTCCGTGTTATTTAATACCCATTTATATATCATTCCATTACGGAGGTAGAATTCGCCTCACTGTATACTATATACTTAAGATTTCCTAAACGATCGATTCTAATTTTGATTTAGACCTCTTCATGAGAAAAGATTTTAAGTAGTATTACCATACCACATCACACTGTCTCCTGTTTGTCAAAAATTTCGTGGATTTCAAAGCATTTACACTAAGACCCCACATCCTCTTGTTAAGAACATGCTAGAAAGATACACTTTCTTGGATATACTGCCCTACTGGTGGATGGTGACTAGTAATGGAATTCAGGATGTGGATTTATTCCTATCTGGGACTCGTAATCTAGATGTGCTTGCATTCCCCAGTAGATGATGGTGTTT